TTTGCTACAGCTAAGATTTACATTACTATTTTGAATAAAAGTGGTAAGAATAGACATCCTTGTCTTGTTCCTGATATTAAAGGAAAAGCTTTCATTTGTTCACCATTGAGTAATATGTTAGCTATTGGTTTGTCATGTATGGCGTTTTTATGTTGAGTTATGTTCCTTCTAAACCGATTTTGTTGAGAGTTTTTAATCATGAACTGATTTTGGGTTTTTTCTATTTTTTTTTTTTTTCTGCATCTGTTGAGATGATCATATGGTTTTTATCTTTCATTTTGTTAATGTCATGTGTCACATTGATTTGTAGATATTAAACCAATATATGTAAAGACTTTATTTTTATTATTTTTTAATGTTTATTTTTGAGAGACAGAGACAGAGCATGCATGGGGGAAGGGCAGAGAGAGAGGGAGACACAGAATCTGAAGTAGGCTCCAGGCTCTGAGCTGTCAGCACAGAGCCCGACGTGGGGCTCGAACTCACAATCTGCAAGATTATGACCTGATCTGAAGTCGGAAGTTCAGCCAGCTGAGCCACCCAGGCGCCCCATGTAAAGAACTTTAAATACTAAATACATTTGCAATCTATAGTTAATTATTTCTAAAAATAAGACTTAAAGAAAATCACCAGATAATAAAGACGAACAAAGGCTACAAAGATGGCTGTTAAGGATGTTTATGATTAGTTACATAATACCAACTAGAAAATATACTCCAGGAGGACAAGAATTGTTTGTTTTGTACAACTGCATCTCAGTGCCTAGACCAGTGCTGAGAACAAAGTAGGTACTCAATACGTGTTTATGGAAAACATAAATACATAGCTAACATATAGTGGGAAAATTTTAAAAACACAAATTTTTCAGTAATAGATTTGTTGTGTAATATGAGTACAAGGATAAATTGTAAATTCATTCAGTTCTAAATTTTTAAAAATGGTGATTTTGCTTTTTTTAGTGGCTGAGAAAGATAGACTATCTATCTATCTAGGCTGACTCTACCAACGATAACAACTTGAATCCCTGGACCTAAAAAGCAATACACCAAAAAGTCACAATGCACATCCCTGGGTTTGGAGATTCAGGTTATTTTAATTTTACTTCTGTAATTTAAAAATGTTTCTCCAAAAAAACCCATTTATTTTCATAAAGAAAGAAAGGTAAAAACACAAGCACCCTTGTGTTTATTTTTAGAAAGAATCCATTTGGGCTGCTACCTGTACTTTTTGTTAGGTTCCTGGCCACAAAAGAGTGCCCTAAGAATGCAAGTCGGAGCTGCTCTGCCCCACTGATTCAGTACAACTCAGTTATTTGCAGAAATACTCAATTTTTCGTTATAACTCTTAATTTTTAATTCTTGTTTTCTCTGTTCCTGGTCTAAAATCTTATATAATAATTTGAGTTCTCCAACTTTGGTCTCAACTCCCCTCCATCACTGGAAAGCAAACTGATGCTACTTCCTTGATTCTGAGCTTATATATATTTATATTTGGTGTTTACTTCTCTTTTCTCTTTGAAAGTGGATTTCCGGACACATAGCATTAAGTGTTGCATTGCTCTTCAGTTCTTTGTCCTAGTATAAGTCTCTTCCAGTAGAATAGCTCTTTGCTGCCACCTTCTGGTTTTTGTCTGCTAAAGCCAGGCAGCAGGTCAAAGGTGACTGTTTCAATCTGGGCTCTTCTCAGCATCTGAGAATGCTCTGCCTTTTCTTTGACTTCTTTGAAGCTCTTCAAAGTGATCTTTTGATATATTTTATTCTCCAAAACCAGAATTGACTTATTTTTATGGAGGCTTTATGTCCCCAAAGCCTATATTTTTTTACTTTTTTTTTTTTTTTTTTTTTTTTACAGAGAAAGCTTGTTGACCTCTAAAGAATACAAGAATAGCAAATATAGGGAGCATCCACAGCCTTTAGGGATAAGTACCCAAAGAGCGTGAAAGAGGCTACCTTCCTCCAAAGCAGAGTAAGGTCTTACTGGAGAGAGCGTGGCTGTGTCTCAGTCGATGACCTTAAGCAGCTATCTGCCAGGTGCCAGAGAATTTGATGAAGGTTAAATGGAGTTTGAATGGAGTTTCTGGGTAGAGAACCTGGAGGGTAGGCACCATTGGTTTTCCACACACCAGCTGGCAACAATTCTACAGGAAGAAGGAGGAAACCATTGGAAACAGAACAAGGTTGTCAAGGGCCTTGCTGCAGCCTTGTAAGCCCCACCATTGCCCTCTATTGATAAAGCCTCACTTGAAGCCAGCTGGCAGAAGAAAATAGTTTACATATCCAGCCCTAGTATCTCAAATTAGTTAAGAGACTGGATTTAAAGCTAAAAGGCAATGATTAGATAAATGGCACAAATATACAGTCCACATGCAAACTTCTCTAATTCAGTTGGTTTCTATATGTAACTGAACACCATGTCTTCCATTTATCTCATAACTCTAGAGTCTCTTTTAATCTTTAGAGTCTCCTACATTAAAAAAAAATTTGCCTTTTATTGCATTAACATTTGTTGAAGAGTCTAAGCCATTTACTTTCCAGAACATCTCTCACAATGGGTTTATTTTTTTGTTCTCATTGTTAAATTCAGGTTAAACACTTTTGGCAGGACTATTACATAGTTATCATATTGTGTCAATGAAACATCACAAAGCACATGGTGAAAGTTTGTCTCATTATTAGTGATAGTAAGTTTGGTCATTTGGTTAAAGTTATGACTAATAAATTTATTTATTCTCCTGTTGTAGTATTGACCCAATTGAGTGATATGTTAAGAACATGAAATTATCTTTGTTTCCAAAAAAAATTTTTTATCCAAATTTAACATCCACTGGTAAGTCTTGGTTGAATCCATTTTTGTCAGAGGTGTGAAATGGTGAATTTCCTGGACTTCCATTCCTTTTACAATCCATCGACAATTAGAAGAACTGAAAAGTTTGGCACAGGCTGGGTTGCAGGCCATCCTCCTGAAAATGGTTTCTTCTTTCAGTTCTTATTCAGGCACTTACCTCTGCATTTCCTACCACTGCCCCTATTTCCTTAAGTCTCAGGGAAACACCTTGTCGGCCTGGTTTCACTCTCCATCCTTCACATGCTGTTCATGAGTAAGAATCTGTGTGATTATGATATTTTAATGGATCTGGAGTTTCTCATTATATGAAGAGATTTTTTAAAAACCTATTTTTGAGTTTGAAAGAACCTAAAACTTTGATAGCTTGATTACCCAACCTAGGGACCAAAAGTACTTTGTTTGTTATTTGTTAATTCATTTGTTCAATAAGTTATTTAGATGTTTTTACAGCTACTATAACTCTTTGTCATTCTCCATCCTCTCTTCTTAAACATTTTCAATGATAGTTTAATAAGTACTTTACTAAGACCATACTCTATCTCGTGTTAAATCTACAGTAATATGGATTCATTTTCCCAATACTGTTCTCAGTAGCTACGTAATCCATACTGCATAATTAAAAGGCAGCATCCCTGGTGTTGTGTGGTAATGTCAATTACAACTATGGAGCTATGGAGAGTTTAAATCTATCCAAGTAACAGAAAAAAAAATTTTTTTCTACACATTTTTTGCCTACTAAATTCCAAAGAATGATTTTTTTTTTTTTAAGAAAAAAGAAAAAAAAATATTCTGGCCAAATGGAGAATCTGATTACATTTTACAAACTTCAGACTATCAATTTTCAAAATTGAGTGTGTTCCTTCTGGAAGATGTTATTGAAAGCAAACTGATAGTTTTTAAATTTTTTTTTT